AAAAGGTCGACCTTTCGAATCCACCAGCAGCTCCAAGTAGAAAAGACCTGGCGGTCTGTTTCCATAAAGATTACAGTCTAGGAAACCCTATGGGGCAGTTCTGCTCTGTCCTGTTGGGTCACTATGAGTTGGAATTGACTCAGTGGCACAAAACAACAACAGCTAACATTAATTCTGATTCAGGAATTTGATGTTTTACTTACAAGTAAGCCACAGGGGGAAAAGCTTCTTTATTGTGTCTTCCAGCAAAGTAGTATACTTTCAGTACTTACGTGGATTTTAAGGTCGAGAACCCTTATTATTTTTCTTCATTCCAAATCTTTTGTATAAACAAGGCAGTGTCTTTTACTCTGTAAGTAGTAAGTCTTCCCATTATCTATCCATTTTGAGACCAGGTCAAAACAGGAGCAGCTGCCAACCTCTGCATTACAGGCTTATAAGGCATTAAGTATCTCTTTCTCTGAAGATAACCATGATCTTTATTTTTGAAAGTTGTCCCCTGCCACTTGTCTTTAAATATAAAGATCTGATACTATAGATGGCTTAACTTGAAAATCTTCCTAAGGTATAACTTTTTAAAAATCGTTGGCTTGTAGCAATTAATTGAGCAATTTATTTAAAAAAAAAAGAGAGAGAAATTTCCATTCTGGAAGAAAATTCCAAAAAAAGAAGAGCATTTGTATCCTGAAATTTTCCTCTTTTTTTCTCCCTTCTTCTTTATGAGGGGGACCAGGCTCAATATGATCCATTTTTACTACTGGAACATGTACTTGGAGGATCAGGAGAATTTATGAAAGATGATATATTAAATTGAGAATCCCAAATGGAAAGATTAGATAGATTGCTCATATTTATAAAAAGCTCTATACAGCTTTTAAAAGCACCTGGGTATACATGATTACTCTGAGTTTCTCAGTAAAGCTTTGAGATTGCCTATAATACCATTTTTATTTGGTAATATGTTTCTGTGGCTGCATGTGCCAAACACTGTTAATAGGTATCTGAGGATTCAGTGAATAAGACAAAAAGATAGCCTTTTAGGAGTTTACATTCTCATGGGGGAGGTAAAACTTATATAAATTAATACGTAAATAGGAATTTCATCTAGTGGTAAATGCTATGAGGAGCAAAAAGACTAGGAAGTGACTTTTTTGGAGGGGATGTAGTACTGCTTCTGCTAGGATGGTCAAGGAAGACCTTCCTGAGGAGTTGGCATTTGACCTGGGACATGGATGATGGCAAAAGGCAGTTGTGTAAAGATCTAGGGGAAGAGAGATCTATGTAGAAGGAATAGCAAGTGCAAAGGCCCTGAGTGATCATGAAGGACATTGTAGGTTTGGTTTTTCTGATGGCAGTGGGAAGCATTTGGAAGGCTTTATCAGAGGCATGATATAATTTCATACACTTTTTAAAAATCACTGCTTGCTAGTATGTGGAGAATGGACTGTATGGTTACAAGTTGACACAGGGGAGGCTAGTTGGAAGGCTACTCAGAAGTTCAGGCATAGATGGTGGCCTGGACTAGGGTTTTATCAGTGGAGATTTAAGAATTGATTGGATTCAGGATGAATTTTTGCAGGAGGAGCAGCCTACTAGACTCACTGATGGTTTTGATGTGAGGTGTGAAGGGGAGAGAAGAATCAGGGATGGCGTTCAAGTGTTTGATTTGATTGACTATATAGATGGTGTTACCGTTTATTTATATGGGAAAGGTTTGTGGTGAAGCAGATTTGTGGGGGAATGTTCGTTCTGTTTTGACCCCACAGTGTGTTCGTGGAGAAGTTGGATAGGCAATTAGATGTATGAGACTTTACTTCTCAGGTGACGAAATTGAAACTGTTGGAAAGCTCATGTGATTTGTCTAAGATCTACAGAATTAAGTGGCCATGTAGACTTGAACCCAGGTTTTCTAACCTTTTCTTTGCACTTCCTTACTCTGTTCCTGCACTTTTCTCACACTGTTCTTAATCCAGTGTATAGTGGAAAGAGTCCAGGCTCAGAGTCATCAGACTTAATTAAAATCTTAGCTTTAGCACCATTTGGCTGTAGTCACTTCACTTCTCTGATTCTCAGTTAATGGTTGAGAAAACAGAGACTGTAAAACTGGCTTTATCTTTTTAATACAGAGATTGTGATAATGTGAAAACTCTCTGAAAGTAAAGGTGCAGCATAGATTCAAGGGATTGTTGTATTCTTATGCTTTAAATAAATGTAGTCTTAGAAGCAGGTGGATTTATTGACGTTGTTGATGGTTGCAGGTGAGAGCACAGAGCCGGGATAAGCAGATAGAAGAAAGGATGCTGTCCCACAGGGAAGATGACAACAACAGGCATGCAACCAGGCACCAGGTATGGGCCTTGTTAAAGCTCTGGCGTTCAGTTTGAGATCCGTGTCTTGGATCTCCTTTGCCTCATCACTGTCTTTAGGTATATTCATGCCTATTGTTTCCTGTGGTATGTCTAAATAACTGATCTTGCAGTCCTTAACTCAGAATCATATTTGCTTTTCAAATAGTAAATTTTTATAAAACAAGCACTAGTCTACTTCATAAATGAAGGAATTTTGCTGCTACTACTACTAATAGTAGTGTAATCGTGATTGTGTGAAAGATTATACTTGCTCCATTTCCTCATTTTGTGTCTGTCTTTTAACCCGTTATAGTTTGGCCTCAGACCCTCCACTCTGTTGGTGTGTTTCTGGGCTTACCAGTGACTGCTTAGCATCTGTCACTTGTTGACTATGCCATTTCTCTTCTACTTTAATCTTCCCTTGGTTTCCGGGATGCTACTTTGTCCTCATCTTCCCTGTGCCTCTCTGAACATTCATTGCCGCGTTGGTTACACTTAATTCTTGTTCCTCCCTAAATGCATTTTGTCTTTACTCTTGCTATTTTTCTGCTTAGAATGCTCTACCTATGCCAAAAAGAGATTTTATTTATTCTTATCAAGGCATTGTGTGACTCTCAGCTGTTCTAGGAATTCTTCCCAAATCTTTTCCCATCATTAATGAATTTTTTCCTCGTGTATTCCCATTGTAATTTGCTCAAAATGTTAGTTTAGTCCTTGTCACATTGTATTATACATAGCTCACGATATGGATGTCTGTTTTTGTGGTTAGATTGTGGGTGGGTAGCAGAGGAAGCATGGTCATAGAGGAGAAGTGTGTGGGCTTTGGAGCCAGACACATCTGGATTTGAATACTATGATTCTGTTTCTCTAGCTGTGTGGTTTTGGGCAAGTCAGCTAATGTCTTTAAACTTTATTTCCTTGTTAATAAAATGGGGTTAATAAGACCACCTGGTAGGGTAGTTAAGGGAGTCAGCTAAATTATGTATATAAAATATCTATCCCCAGTGCTTGGCAGGTAATAAGCACTCCATAAGTAGTAGCTGTACTTTTCATCGTTACCTTGGGTTCTAATTCATTTTTTCTATTTTTATTCATTTTTGTATCACTGTTAATCAGGCCACTACTTGGAAAACAGCATTAATGAGTGATTGATTACTGAATTGAAATGATCTTTATTTTATTCTTGTTGCTTTGGTGGAGACTTCCATCCTTAATTTGTGTTCTCTTTGGGTTAATATCAAAGTAAGTTTGTATTCCTGAACCCATATTAACTGGCAGTAAGGGTAGTGGTCTGGGTAATGAGGGAACCCAATTTGGAATTTTTAAATTGCCATAGTGTTCACAGGGTGGCTCTAACATATCTGGTGTTGACTGAAGTTTTTCTCTTGTTTGGAGGCTGCAAAGCTTTGTTGTGCTTTCATTTTCCTCCACCCTTCCCCCTCTTTGTGCGTGTGCGCGTGTGTGTATATGCGCGCGCATTCATTTTGAAGCTTGACTTCATATTTAGTTTTCTAGCTTTTCCTTTTTAGGCACCAACAGAGAGGCAGCTACGATATAAGGAAAAGGTGGCTGAACTCAGGAAGAAAAGAAATTCTGGGCTGAGCAAAGAACAGAAAGAGAAATACATGGTGAGTAAAAGTAAAATATTTAATTAGTATGAACTGACACAAATGTTCTCACATTTGATCACTGGTTTCTAAGCTTCTGCCTTTCAGATTGGTCATTTGGTAAAAGTGCGAGCAGTCTTCTCTTGCAATTAGAGCTTAAACAGCAGCTAACAACACTAATCCCCCAAAACTGGGATGTTGAGAGTGGAAACAGGAAGTCTTAGGAAAATAAAGTACAGTTGATTTGGAATAGAAAAAAAATTGAATCCTTTAGTTGTTTGTAAACCTCACTATAATTTTAAAGGGTTAAGTGTTCCCATTAGAACAAATCCCATGATAATGGACATCTCTACATAAGGAAACATATTCAAGCCAACAAATCTTCCACTTATTTTAATGGAAAAATGGAATCCCTGCATGATAGAAGATGTTAATTAGGTGATATTCTAGAGTAGATTTTTTTTGTAGTATTTTAATTTTTCTGGCTATAAAAGTAATATATGTTTGTAGTGGAAAATATATTACAATTTTAAAAAGCATTCAGAAGAAAATATTAATCCTGCCACCTAAAGATAACCACAGGTAGCATTTTGGTATATCTTCTTCTAGCTTTTTTATGTACATAAATACCTTATTTACATAATTATGATATTAATACTGCTTCCAATCCTGTCTTTTCGCCTAAATTCTTTTAAAAGAAACTTTGCATAAAGTTCAGTTTCTTAGCTAGAGATTAATTTTATTATAAACATATTAATATGTATATTTCACTGTTAACATTTTGAGGTATGTTCTCCCAGTCTTTCCTGATACTTCCCCCCTCCATCCCCATAGAATTGGAATATTCGGTTTTTTAGTCATTAGTATAGATTATTAAATGTATGGTGTGTGAATACTTAAGACAGAGCTTGGCTTCACTAAGATGAAAATATACCAAATTATGTGTTTACTTTTTTGACAGTCATCACTGTCTGTCTTGAAAATGATAACCTTATTGATACATGGAGATAGGCCAGTGTGAGATGGATATTAGGATTGTGGGATGAATTTGTAGCTAAAACGCCTACACCAGATTGTGTTGGGTTTGATTATTATGACATTGTAGGTGGACTATTGGGAGGAGTAGTGGGCTATAGGGTACAAGGTTATGTGATTGTCCCTGTTCTGTTTGACGTTTTTATCCACAAATTGGGTAGAATGTAATAATGCAATAATCATGCCATTTGTTGAAGTCTTATGTGCTAGGCACGGTGGTTTTGTTGCTGTAATCTTTGTAACAACTTTGTATGATGGATGGTGTTTCACCTGTTTTGTATATGGAAACTGAGACTTAGAGAGGTAACTTGCCAAAAATCTTACAGCTAGAGTGTCTGAAGTGAAAGCCCCTGAAATTCTTATCTTACAAACCTCTGCTTTCCAGTAATGTGGGGTAGATTATTTGGACCCACCTATTATAAGGCCTGGCATGTAGTAGGCACCAAATAAATAGTTCATGATTGTGCTTGGCCCTCTAGTTGGCATGGACCCACCCTTCCTGGTAAAAACCATGAAAAATACTGCATCAGATTTTTTACAGACCTTCTCTTTTTTAACCTTTATGAAACTTGACAGAATAACTAATACTTACAACCTAAATTTTAGATGACAGTCCAAATTTAAAAAGATACACGTCTTTTTAAATTTGATGTTGGGGCCCAGATTAACTAGAAGACATTTTAATAGGGTTTAAAGTACTGGTGAATGGTTTCTTCATATGCTAATATGTGTGTGAAATCTATAATGTTCTTCCTGGGATGAGCCATCCACTGCACTTAACAACCATTATCTTCCATTGTCTGGATGAGAGGTGGAGTCTAGAACAGAATGGGAAGGGCTAGAATCAGAGGTTTAAAAGGGACAGCTCCCGTGAGGAGTCTTTCCTGAGAAAGGGTACTTGGCGTGGCTGTCATGGTAAGATTTGAACGAATTTAAAATTGGGTTATTTTTATGCTTCCAGTTTTATATGATGTTTTCCTCTTCTTGCTTAATATTTAGTAAAACAATTTTTAAAGCGCCTAGCCTGTTTTTCTTTGCGCGTGTGGGCTAGAGATTTAGTGGGATCCTTACACGTAATGGTGGCTGCAGTAATTAAAGTGAAAAAATTC